AAAAAAAAAAAAGTCCCCATCAGATTCACCTGTGGGTACGTCCATGAAGCATTTTCTTGGTTAATGATTGATGAGGGAATGCACAGCCCAGTGTGGCTTTTGCTACCCTTTGGAAGGTAGACCTGAGTAGCAAAAAAGCAGGCTGAGTAAGCCATGGGGAACAAGCCTGTAAGCAGCATCCCTTCCTGTCCTGGCTTTCCATGATGATGGACTGCAGCCTGAAGGACAAATAAACCATTTCCTCCCCAGGTTGTTTTTGGTCCTGGTGTTCATCACAGTAACAAAGGCATAACTAGGCTGCTAGAATGGAGCAGGATGTGGAGCCCAGATCCTTTGCAGTAGCAGCCTCAGGACCAGGCATCCTCTACAACTCCGCAAGAGTCTAGATGAGAGCTGCTACATTGCTCTTTGCATTGCTTTTCTGTTATGATCTTCCAGCATTCTGAACCACTTTTCTTTTCTTTTCTTTTAAGATTTTTTTATTTTATGTATATGAGTACTCTGTTTTTATCCACACCGGAAGAGAAAATCAGATCCCTTTACAGATAGTTGTGAGCCACCACGTGGGGTGCGGGAATTGAACTCAGGGCCTCTAGAAGAGCAGCCATCTCTCCAAGCCACAAACCACTTTTCATAACATAACCAAAGAGTCAACTTGTTCTTATTGCTGAATTTCTGCGATCTTGCCGTTTCCCAGTATGTGAGTTGGCTTCGCCATGGGGAGGTGTCCCCATGACAGTGAGTCTCATCCACAGTGGGCAGGTCCTCACCCCAGTCACAAAATGTGTCATGACCTTTTCAGAATGGAGGTTTGGGGATTCCACAGGTTAAACTCTCCTGCCCACTAATTATACCTCTGTCTACGTTCCAAATGACTGGAGCCCAAACTGACTGGTCCCCTGTCACCAGTACACCCCGATTGTATCATCAGCTTATCATTTGCCCAATGATTACATGTAATTATCTGTCATTGGCACAGTCTCATCTCTCCTCCTGCTTGGAAGCTATTTCCTGTACAGTTCCCTATAACCCTAATGTCCTCTATCAGGCTATGGGCATGACAGGCTTAAACATGAGTAAAAATGTGTAACAGAGATAATCCTTCTAAGTGCAGTCATTTATGTTCCTAACTATTGACAGCAATATACATTAAACTTCAATTTTCGATTAAAATGTGATCTGAAAAGTAGCACACAGTAGGAACCCAACAAACCTTGGAGTCAAACTGACTCTTCTCTGGAAATTTTGTAGAAGCCACCACAGAAATACCATGTGTGTTTAATTATGAAGTATATATTAATGATTTCTTTACAAATCCCATGAAGTTGCTACTGCGATCAAGTGAGATCTAGGACTTGGCGTATATGTTTGAACCAAACCATCAAGTATGTCCTCACTTGGCCTCACCACCTTTCGCTTTTACAGGAAACAGGACCAAGGGCCCTGGTCCTCTCTCCTTCCGGAAGGGCCCAGAGTCAGCCACACTGATCCTTACACCCAAACTCCCTCACTTTGTCCGTGTCAAAGGAGTTGGATGACTGACTCCTGACCACCAGCCGCAACCCTCTCACTTGCATGTTCTCTGCCCTCAGGTGCCCTTCTCCAACTGCAGCCGGGACTGTCTGGCAGGGACCAGGAAGGGGATCATTGAGGGCGAGCCCACCTGCTGCTTTGAGTGTGTAGAGTGCCCTGATGGGGAGTTCAGTGACGAGACAGGTAAGGGATCAGCCCTTCCCACACCCTGCATGGGACTCAGGCTGCCTCAGGTGTCGGCAAAGCCCGCGGGAGAGCTGGGCAGAGCCGGTGCTTAGAACCATTGGCCTTCTAAGGAGAGCATGCCTAGCACTGCGCCCCGGTGGGCACGAGATGGAAGTGAAAGTCCTTGTCAGGTATCTTTCTAATAGTCCAGGCATTTATAAGCATTCCTGCCACATACCTCTCTCCGCCTCCGACACTGCCCTCTAATAGTGTGGGTGTGTCCCTTTTCTTAAAGCTCCACGTGGCCCTAGGTGGGCAAAGTGGCATCTGTGCCAGTTTGAGTTAACAGACTTGAGTGACAGGTTTCCTGCCGGTGCCTTCTGTTGTGTGCTGGCTCTGATGTTCTTCCTGGGTCTCCAGCTCTCTTGGTATTTATTTATTAGTTAGGTACGTAGTTAAGTTAGTTATTGTTTGCTATTTATTTTATGTGTGTGAGTGTTTTGCTTGCATATAGGTACTGCACCAAGGGCATGCCTGGTGACTGTGGGTGTCAGAAGAGAATATTAGATTCCCTAGAACTGGAATTACAGATGGCTGTGAGCTGCCGTGTCAGTGCGGGACTCCAGCATGGTTACTCTGCAAGAGCAGCAAGTACTCCTCACCACTGAGTCAGCTCTCCAGTCCAGGCTCAGGTTCTTCTAAAGGAGAATCATAATTAGACCTTTTATGAAGCTGTGATAATTAAACAAGTTAACATTAAGTTCTACACATATGCTCCTTAAATAAAACCTTGACTTTTGCATATTGAAAGGACTAGATAAATACTGACTACAATTCTTGTTCTTTCAACCTTACCACAATGATAGGCTCGTTTTTCCCTCTATCTTAGCTGTGAGGAAACTGAGGTCTAGAGAGTTAACTGTGACCAAGGTTCCACAGCTAGTAAATGGCATGACCAGGATCCCATCCCAGTCTCTAATCCTGCTCCCTTCTCTGGTCGGAACCACGAAGTGCCAGGCAGGCAGTAAACTTAGTAAATACTCAGAATCTAGATCAGTGTTCCTCAACCTATGAGTCGCGACCCCCGTGGGATCATATATGATCTTCTGCATATCAGATATTTACATTATTAATTATTATTATTATTATTCATAACAGTAGCAAAATTACAGTTAAGAAGTAGCAACAAAAATAATTTTAGAGTTGGGGAGGTCACCACAACATGAGGAACTGTGTTAGCAGGTTGCAGCATTAGGAAGGTAGGTTGGAAACCACTAATCTGGGTAAATATCTGGACTCGCTCTTCATAAAGTTGAGAACATAGGTATGACTGGCCACGTGCACGGGGCACTCACCTTCCTCTAAAAGAACATCTTTTCTGGCATGGCAGCACAGCCCAGGCACATATCCAAGAGAAGCCAGGCTGTGTGGCAGAGAGCAGCGGGGCTCACACCCTTCACTCCTGTCACGGTGTTACTTACTAGCTGTTTGCACCCCGCAACGCCAGCCTGAAAACCTCAAACATCAACAGTTTAACTTGTTTAAAAAAAAAAAAAAAGAGGGTAAGACAGAACCTGAAACAGAGTTGCGGCCCTGTTAGACCTTGGGGTGCCAGGAAGCGTCTGCTGCTTACTGTTGCGGACGGTATGAAAAGAAATGGGCCACCCCGCAGTTGTTGGGGAGGGGTACAGCAAAAACCTTCAGAGGTGTTCATTCTCCATAGACGTAAGACCCAACAATGATAATATCGTCGATAAGTAAAACCCCTCCACAGCACGCCCACACCGACTGCCTCAGGGTAACCGAGTCTGCACTGGGTCGTTTTCAGACGCGAGCGCCTGCGACAAGTGCCCGGATGACTTCTGGTCCAACGAGAACCACACTTCCTGCATCGCCAAGGAGATAGAGTTCCTGGCGTGGACCGAACCCTTCGGAATCGCACTCACTCTCTTCGCGGTGCTGGGCATCTTCCTGACGGCCTTCGTGCTGGGCGTCTTCATCAAGTTCCGGAACACGCCCATCGTCAAGGCCACCAACCGGGAGCTGTCCTACCTCCTGCTCTTCTCGCTGCTCTGCTGCTTCTCCAGCTCGCTCTTCTTCATCGGGGAGCCCCAGGACTGGACGTGCCGCCTGCGCCAGCCGGCCTTCGGCATCAGCTTCGTGCTCTGTATCTCCTGCATCTTGGTGAAGACCAACCGCGTCCTCCTGGTCTTCGAGGCCAAGATACCCACCAGCTTCCACCGGAAGTGGTGGGGGCTCAACCTGCAGTTCCTGCTGGTTTTCCTCTGCACCTTCATGCAGATCGTCATCTGTGTGATCTGGCTCTACACGGCGCCCCCCTCGAGCTACCGCAACCACGAGCTGGAGGACGAAATCATCTTCATCACGTGCCACGAGGGCTCGCTCATGGCGCTCGGCTCCCTGATTGGCTACACCTGCCTGCTGGCTGCCATCTGCTTCTTCTTCGCCTTCAAGTCCCGGAAGCTGCCCGAGAACTTCAACGAAGCCAAGTTCATTACCTTCAGCATGCTCATCTTCTTCATCGTCTGGATCTCCTTCATTCCGGCCTACGCCAGCACGTACGGCAAGTTTGTCTCCGCGGTGGAGGTGATCGCCATCCTGGCGGCCAGCTTCGGCTTGCTGGCCTGCATCTTCTTCAACAAGGTCTACATCATCCTCTTCAAGCCTTCCCGGAACACCAGCGAGGAGGTGCGCTGCAGCACCGCGGCGCACGCTTTCAAAGTGGCAGCCCGGGCCACGCTGCGCCGTAGCAACGTCTCCCGGAAGCGGTCCAGCAGCCTTGGGGGCTCCACGGGCTCCATTCCCTCCTCTTCCATGAGCAGCAAAAGCAACAGTGAGGACCCGTTCCCGCAGCTAGAGAGGCAGAAGCAACAGCAACCGCTGGCCCTGACCCAGCAAGAACAGCAGCAGCAGCCCCTGGGTCTCCAGCCGCAGCCGCAGCCGCAGCCACAGCCGCCGAGATGCAAACAGAAGGTCATCTTTGGCAGCGGCACGGTCACCTTCTCTCTAAGCTTTGACGAGCCTCAGAAGAACGCCATGGCCCACAGGAACTCCGTGCGTCAGAACTCGCTGGAGGCCCAGAAGAGCAACGACACTTTGAGCAGGCACCAGGCTCTGCTCCCGCTGCAGTGCGCAGACACGGACTCAGAAATGACCATTCAGGAAACGGGCTTGCAAGGGCCCATGCTGGGGGACCACCAGCCAGAAATGGAAAGTCCAGAAGAAATGTCCCCAGCGCTGGTTGTGTCCACCTCCCGAAGCTTCGTCATTAGCGGTGGAGGTAGCTCGGTGACGGAAAACATCCTGCACTCCTAATGGAGGGAAAGGCTCTCCAGTGTAGAGTTTTTCTTAGAGTCCCAGGAATAAGGACGGGTCCCTCCTTTCTTCCCATGCCTGGATATACATCAACGCTTTGAACGACGGTGGACTGACTGGCACGCTATTTAAAGTTAGAAGAAGAGCCATGTGTTGGGGTTGTTTTCCAGAGCTCAGTATCGTACCCAGGTTTGCTGACGTCTTTTTCTCCGCTCTATCTACCACCGGCTCAGATGAAAGCAAGGCTATAAGCTACCCACATGCTTCCCTCCCTTAAAAATGCATACATCCAGAAATGCCTGCCCTGAGATTCCATGGATAGCATGATCTGAAAATACAGTCCAGATACAGACTGATGGCACATCAGATCTGCCGGACAGTCCCCAGGATTAACACACTGACAGTGGACAGAACTTTACACGTTCAAGACATCAGTCGGATGTGCCCTCTCCTATTTATAGACACCTTGAGAAGTGTGGTCTTTCTGTCCTTCCTGCTGCTGCTATTTCGTGCCCTCCTTCCTTCCTGTGCCATCGTGTCTGGATGTGTCCAGGATCTGAAGGCAATGCCCTGTTTAGATCTCAGGATCATAGGATCATCTCTAAACACTGGGGAAAGGACTGACTGAATCCAATGAGCTGTCTCTGTAATTAATACTGCTTTACATAGCTTAATCCTTGAGAAAATGCTTCATGGGTGATTACAAACTAAAAAGTGTCACAGTCTGGATTCTACAAGGCAGTATTATTGAGTTCTGTTTTCCATCCCTATGCCCTCACCCCAGTGAGCAGAGCCCCATGTGATCCCTCTCAAGACCTCAGGTCTCCAACCACTCCCCGCCCCCAGTCCCTGCGATAAAGGCTTTATGAAGCCAAATCCAGACATGGCTCTATGGAGAATAAGCTCCCAGAAGAGAGTGTGGTTCCCAGTGAATGCCAACAGTTTCCTCAGCAGTAAAATTAAAGGTGCCCTCTGGCCACCCAACTGCTAGGAACTCATACTCCAGACCACAGGGACCAAGGTTCAGGCTCTGGCTTGGTCATTGGCAAAGATGGGTGGTTATAAGCAGGAAACCACAGCCGATTTAAGTCCCGGCTTCTTTGAGTGTAAAGTAGAGAGCTACGGTTCTTTTTCCCATGGAGCTCTCACACAGCGGGAGCACGTGTGCCACATACTTTAGCACGGTGCCTAACATATCATAAGCACTTAGCGTTAGTAAAGTGATTAGTGACATAGTAACTAGTAGTTTCCACTTGCTTAGACTATGCCATAGTTTGGATTATGACCCTAAAGGTCCACACGTTAAGAGATTGGTCCCTGGGATGGCCCCCTTGGTGCCTTCAGGAGGTGGGATTTAGTAGGACATCATTCAGTCACTGGAGATGTGCTTTTGAGGGGAGTAATGGAACTCTGGCCCCTCCATTCTCTTTCTCTTCTAGTTCCGGGTCATAAGATGACCAGTTCACTGACACAGGCTGACCATCACTGCCATCTAGCATCCCACCCAAAACAATGGTCCACCTGCGTGTGGACCAGAATCTCCAAAACAAAGTATCAAGATTAACTTTCTCTCTCTCTCTCTCTAATTACCCGAAGTATTTTATTATACCAAAAGAAAGCTGACTAATACAGACTCTAAAGCAGAAATCGTATTAAGCATCCAGATTTTACTGTCTAATCCACCAATCACAACAACTTTCTTCAGAATAAGTCCGGAACTTCTGAGCCCCAGGTCAAGGTGTCAGCAAGAGACAAGCCCCACCCCCAACAAACCCAATGTTCTGCCTCTGTGGTAATAGTACCACTTCCTGCACAATCTCGGGTTGACAGTTTCTCAGAGCAGATTCCACCGAGCCACACTGACACCAAGACCAAGCCATGGAATGTAAATCCATCAGTGGTCTAAAATTTATAGCTTGTGGTGAGTCTTCCTCTGACTGCTTCCTTCCCAGGCTTTTTAAGGTAACGGTTGGCATTATGGCCATAAAGAGTATGATGAATGGCACATGGGTTACAAGAGGGCACAGTAGAGAATGACCCTCTCACAGAATACAAATCAGTCCTGGTGAGCCACCAACACTCCAGCCAGAAAGGGCACAGCCTGGCCGAGCCTGCTGCTCTCTGCTGCCCCCCTCCAAGCAAGGCACCCTGCCAAATGAGGGTTTATTTTCACATTTTACTTGACCCTGAAATAAATAAAGAAACAAGCAAAACAGCAGCCAAAAGTTGAATGGTATTTCAAAAGCATGCCACAAAACTGTGTGGAAATAGCCTTGGTAAAATGTCACACACTCTTCCTGTTCTGATTTCGGTGCCCGCTGCCCCTTCTCCTGCAGGTAATTTCCTCATACCATGATAAATGAGGCTCATCAAGAAAAACATTCAGCTGTTACACAGTAACTGTTACACTGTTACTGTGACACGCCAGGGGCATCAATCAAGTAACGTCTATGAACAGCCTCATCAGAAAGGGAGATAGGACCATCCCAGTCCCAACTCTGCCCCAAATCACAGAAGTAAGGCAGGAATTTTCACTGTCTCTATAGCAACCTCATTTTTATTTCAAATTCCTTTCCAGCCAGCAACCAAAGCTATTGTTAAGTCAAGTTGTAGGTTTTCCCAAGACTTCTAGAGTTTTCTGATTCAAATTATATTTTTAGGTATCAGCTCAGAAGGTTTTCTTTTTTTTTTCCCCCTTCCTCTTTCCAAGTGAGTTGGAGCATAATAGGAGTGAGGATCTTAGTCAGGAGCAGCGACTCTTAGCTTTGCTGAAGCCATCTTGTCTGGCTCTTCGGTAAACATGTCTATGTGCTGGCTTCCTGTAATGTATCTGTGGCAGCCCAATTCTTTACTCTTGTAACAGACTAAGCAAGCAGGCTAACTATAGAGAGAAGAGGTTTATTTAATTCATACTTATGCTGGTTCAAGGACCAAGACCACACAATCGCCATTGGTCACCACAATGGCAGGAAGGCAGTGGAAGGGAGGGATTACACCTCAAAATAGGAAGCCAGGGGGTGATTTCGGGGACAGCTTTACCCTTATATAGCAACTCACTCTTGAGGCTCCGGGGTCCCCATAAGAACTACCTTAATTCTTCAAAAAGCAGATCCCATCTCCCTCCCTGCAGTGACCTAGCGTCCTTCCACAAGGCTCCACCTCTCAGCATCACCACACTAGGGGCCAAGCTCCCAATGTAGGGACTCCTTGGGAACCATATCTAAACCACAAACCACAGCGGGATCCATCATGGTTTCCACGGAAGGATCGCTGTCTCAAATGACTGGCCCTTCCTAGGCCTGCAAGCTCCCTCAACTCCTCCTGGGCCCATCCTTGGGACCAGGAAACCCTATGAGCTCTCAGGCAATGAACCCTTGACTCCTGCCCAATCATGTCAATACAGAGACTTCCTATACGTTATCCAGATATGCAGTTATACAGCTGTATACACTTATACAGATATAGCAAGCACACATGTGTGAGAAACGGGGTGAAATACTGACAAGCCTGCAGGGACCTGTGTGCCAGACAGAATAATGTTCGGCCAAAGATGCCGACAATTATGACTCCAGAGCTTATGATTGTGTCAAAGCAATGATGATCTAACTTGCTGATTAAATTATGATTCTTTCCAATTACCCGTGAGCCAGGAACTTGCAGAATGGTCAGTGTCAGGTACCACCATGTGAGGAAGGCCCTGCGACCATATACCCACAGTTGCTTTGTGTATGGAAGGAAGGGGAAGGCAAAGGGACACAGGTTGTTTCTAGAAGCTGGACAAGATAAGAGCATCAATTCTCCCTGGGAATTCCCAGGGAGGAATACAGGGATGGAGACCTCGGTTTCAGTCCAGTGAGACCCTTTAAGGATGTCTGACCTCTGGAACTATAAGATAATAAAATTGTGTTATTTTAAGCCACTGAGTTTGTGGTCGTTTGTTTTAGCAACTGTAGAATCCTGTAACTGGTCTTTTACTACTTTGTACGTTCCTTTTTCTTCCACCCTTACAACACCCTAACACCAGATAGAAGAAATGAAAGGGTAGAAAGGAAAGGGAATGATATTATCATTAGACTACTTCCTGCTGATTAGGGGGTGTCGAGTTCCTTGGGATAAATTTGATCTTCATTGTCAGGATATCTAATTTCCTCTTCCTCCTCCTCCTCCTCCTCCTCCTCCTCCTCCTCCTCTTCTTCTTCTTCTCTTTTCCTCCTTCTTCTCATCTCTTTGCTCCCTGACCAACAAACCACAGCCAAGAGCATCCAACCACCAAAGAACAACTTAACTATCAGGGCTCTAGTATTTATATCCCTCTGAAAAGTCCCCAGAATTCCAAACGTCACACAATCACAGAAACGGCGTTCAGCTGGCAAAAGCATGGCTCTGCTAGGGCACAAGGCAAATCATAATCAGCTGCTGTGAAGCAGCCTCATATCCCCACACCTGAGATTAAAACAAGAACACATTATTTGGTTTCTTTTTTCAAAGAAACCAACATTCCAAAATTCTCACTACAGAAACCAACTAATTTTCAGTGGTGGGAATTGAACCCAGGGCCTCGTGCATGGAAGGAAAGCACTCTACCCCTGAGCTATGCTCCCAGCCCAAACGTGTCCTTATGGTCATCACTTTTTCCTGAACCTTTCTGCTTCAAGACATCAGACTGAGACCTTCTCAGACATCTATTCCTGCTCCCACTATAGGCACCTTCCTTCCAACTAGCTCACTCTTCCCTTGGAGCAGGTCTTAGCCGGTATTCAACTCTCCAGATCTGTGTGGGAATGGTAAACCTCATGTTCTGAGTCATGCTGCACTTTGGCTACAGAAAACAATAGTCATGCTGGCCCAACTTATCTGTTAGCTGCAGAAACCAAACAGACCATAGCTTCATCACACTGGTGTTTGTTTCCCTGTTGCATAAAAGATTTTAAGAGATAAATATTTGATCACTATCTTAGTCACTGTTCTATTGCTTCGAAGAGACACCATGACCAAGGCAACTCTCATAAAAGAAAGTATTTAGGTGGGCAGCTTGTTTATGGTCTCAGAGGCTGAGTCCACTCTCATGCATTGGTGTCTCAAACTTGGGGCTATTCTGATACTATCTTTCTAAAAGTCACATTTTGGAGCAATGCTATTCGTCTTTTGTCTTGGTTCAAAGACACATGGCTGCCTCCACCCAGAGCCCAAGTTTCTTTTCCCCTGTCACCCGTGTTTGAAATAGTTAGCACTAAACTGGATGTGATAGAAATTGGCCTGTAACCCCAGTACTCTGGAGTCTGAGGCTGGAAGACTGAGCATTCATGGCCAGCCCCTGTGAAAGGGAGGAGTGAGGAGGAA